AACCTTATTGAGTGAGGAGCAGGCAAAATATCATTTCTGCGTCGTTTTCTCAGACAGCAGATTTACTTCAAATCCAACATCAAGTAGTGCTAGTTTTTTTTGACACCAGTTAGTAGCTTGCGAGATCATGGAATGGTCGCGTCTTTGGTCTCCACCTGCGTCTTTTCCTCTGCAGCCCGGTTCATTGCGCCACAGCCAGCGTGGATGCACACAGGCACCTACCTCATTGAACCTCTGGTGTTACAAACTAGAGCATGCTCTTTCTACGACTTCCGTAGGGATATACTTTGCTGCAGACTATATACAAGGTTAATAAAAGGCTATTGGCTGTTTCTGTTAAGAGCCTTCGCTTTGTTCTGCCGCTTTTTAAAGTTCTGATATGGCGCGAGAGGGGTGGCTAGCTTGCGTGTTGCTGCACCCTCGTAGCACTCTGAGCACTAGTTGAGCGCAGCATCCAGGTGACACGCACACAACAATGCGTCTAATTGCATCTAGATAAGACTTGTCTGCGATGATTAAGATATACGAGCAGATAAGCTACACTTTTGCTAATTCACAGTTAAATTCAATGAGTGTAGTAGAAGCTGAGTATGCAGCGCTTGCGCCGAAACAGTTACCAAAGTGTTCTGATGCAGGGCAAGAAGCGTAGATGATACAGATATACGAGTAACCAAATAAATATTCCATCGACCGCACACTACGGATAGGATCAAGGGAGAAGGCAAGGAAATACAGACCGAGACAATATACTAGGAACACGCGTAACACCATGCTGACACTTAAGTGAGGACCCCAACCTAGGGCCTCGCAACAAAAAAGAGGGAAAGGGGAGCAAAATGTTGATAAGCTTATCAGAGACGTACGTATACTCTTTAAATGCAAAAATGGCTAGCGGTGGAAGGCGAAATGCCTGCCCTTGAAACATTACATCCTTGTTTATCTACGCGAATTCGTTTCTCAGTTGAGGTTCATGCATTTAAAAGCTCTGACAGAAATGCAACGAGATGATTTTTGGATGTGTTGATTTAAATACTCTGCCGGGTCAGTGGCCTTCCAGTATACCGAAGAAGCATCTTTGTTAGCAGCCCCAAGAGGACCACCGGCATGCTGCATGCAATGTTTCCTCTACTCTGGTTAAAGCAGCAAGCATGTAAATGAAAAACCAAAGTTCACATATTCTGCTGCAGGTGGGGAATGTTTGGCTGCCTCATCTTAGAGCCATGATGGCCAACTTATCTTCGGTGCACTGCTGCCGTTTCCTTTCTGTACCTTTCATGCCAAAGAGCATATCCCTTTGTCTTCCATGCTTTTAGGCGAGCAACAAAAGAAAAACGAGCTGGTACTTCTATGCTGCCACAGCTGCTGAATTACATGTATTGGAGAACTCAACAGAGCGCCGCGATTCTAATGCCACTACGCATTCATTACGCCAAAGTGCTTGCTCCAGTGACTGCAATTTTCAGACCTTTTTTTGTCCTCTGAATTTACTCCACAGTTTCTTTTAGAGGCGTCGGCAGCACCGTCAACAGTAGCACTTTGGGCGCCCGCACATGAGACTTAGCCTATCAGCTTACCCATCTCTGCTGAATAACATGCTTGGAAGATGTGGATAGGCCGAATCGGAAAGAAATCAGCTGCCTTCATCAACCACAAGCCTTTCCACCCTGGGAACTATCAAAATCAAGAAAAGGTGCGTTTGGCCCCTCACGCCCATTATCTTCTGCATCGCTTTTTTCTTTTGGCGGTTGAATACTTCTACTGTCCATTTCGTCGTCTCTTTGTTTCCCTCGTATTGCTTCATCATTTACGCCTCATCTTACGAAAGTCTTCCACGTGTAGAGAGGCAACTCAATGAATCCATCTGCTGTTCTGCCATCCTATTCCTTCCTCCTTCCTCTCTGCGCCCTTCACTCTTCGCGCTTTTCTGCGGCCTCCTAGTGCTTTCCCCAGCGTTGCCATGAGTGTTTGTTTCTTTATGTGCATCTGCTGTGAGTTTGGGTTGCTTTTTTTGAGTGCCTCGGCTTTCTGTTGCGTTTTCCAACAGCAGTGTACAAACTGCTTGGTTCCGCTGATTGTGGCAGCCGGCTGTTGCGTATGCTTGCTTCCTGGTACAGTGGCTGTATCTTAGACGTATTTATTCGTGCCTTTCTTGCCATTGTGCAGGTTTGGCTAGCTGAACAGAAGCAGAAAGAGGAGCAAAAGAAGGAGAAGGAACTCGAGGAACGACGGCGGGAAGAAGTCAAGATTGAAGAGTTACGAAGGGCGTTACGGGGAGAAGCCAAGGCGGCGCTGCAGCTGCAGAATAAGGAAGGAGAGGTAATTTCGCCTGCGGAAGAACTGCAGCAGAAAGCCCGGGAAGCAGCAAGGCAACAGGCGCTACAGAGGAAGCAACAAGAGGCGCACCAGAGGTTGAAGCAGCCTGCAAAAAGTAGCTTATACAGCGAGGATGTCTTTATTTTAGGCCATACATCTGTCTTTGGCTCTTACTACTCACGAGGAGAGCAGAAATGGGGGTTCAGCTGCTGCAAGTGTCTAGAGCGGTCAGCGCGTTGCCCCCTAAATCAAGCAGAAGAGCAAAGGATTAACAAGAGGAAGCATAGAAACGGCTGCCAGGTGCAGCCTGCAGATGCTGTTACAAGAGCTTGCTCGTCTCCTAAGCAGGAAGAAAAGGACAGGATAGATGAAGCGAGGGACGGAATACTTACCGACACGGCGACATCGTCGCCGTCGAATAACGGGGAGGCTGGCAGCAACTTCCATGCTACAGGAATGAAAAAGCGGGCCAGAGAAGGGGGAGTGGCCGCGTACTTAAAACTCATGGAAACGACTGACGACGGAGATTAAATATGCTGCTTCTGTTGCTGGGGGTGGTGGTGCCACTGAGTTTGTGATTGCCGCCTCACTGGACACGCCCAACTTTTCCGGCTGGCGCTGTTGCATAGTAATGCAGCTATGATGGGATGGCCCCGTGAGAGGGGTATCTTTGTGGCGTGGCGCTCGCTTTCTCAGATATGCTGCAACAAGAACCCTTACTGATTATCGTAACGATGAGTTGAACAAAGGTCGATGGAGAGCCTGTGCAGAAGGGGCCAGGCATGTATCCTGAGTTATGTGAACTTTTCCGGCCTTTCTACCACTCTTTCTGCATTGTGTGTTCACGTCGATAGAGCCGCTAAAAGGTGTATATATGCATGGAGAGACGGTTACGCAGTGGCAGACATGTGCCAGTATGACAGCTATTAGGAGGTATACGACAACGGCAGAGATATTGTAAAGGGAAAACATAGAGACGCGTATGCTTTGCATGCACCAAACAGCAGCTACCTAGTGCCTCTTGTTTTTTAACTCCCAAAGCAGGACCGATGAAAAATAAAGTTGCGTCACCACAAGTCGCGGTAGCTCCTGCATAAGCTAAGCGACATTCTTTTTGGGCTCCACTGCTCCCTCTAGTCTGTGCAGCGCTAGTGCAGCCCTCCGTTATTGGTGAGTGTTGCCTCTTCACGGGTTCAATCTCATTCCTGCAGTACGAACACTGAACAGGTAGCGCTTCGAGTAATTACACAAGTAGCCGGTGAAGGTTTCATGGGCACGGCGTGATCGAAGACTAAGACGGAATTATACCTGGAACCTGAACAGCAGGATACCTACACTGCTTTGAGGCAGCTAGATGGCACTAAGCCAATATTTTGAATGCGTTTAAATCTCGCAGATTACGCCTCGATGTGTAAAAAAGATCAAATGGGAGAAAAGCGGACAGTGTGTGACTTCAAAGAAGCATTTAACTTCACGAAACAGCAGGATATCGTAGGGCAAGCGCTTGGCCGATGTAGTGGGAGCCAGATTTTTGAAAAACCAATCCGCCGCTATTCGGTGTACGATATCTGAGAGCACAAACCATTGGCAGGGAACTGACTTACAAGATCCCAATGTTTCCAGGCTTCGATTCGCTTGGGCGCTCGCTGTAAAGAGAGAGGGCTATGCCTCACTTGGGCACTTGATATAGCGCTGGGAATACTCGATGCAGTTGTTTAAAATCGACTACTTGATTTGCATGTTCGCCTACCCATTCACTGCAGAGCAGCGTTAGCTCAGTAACAAATGATGCACGCTTCAAGGCCCGTCAGCGAGAGGCTATATGCAACTAGCTGAGGATGCTGGACTGCTTAGACAGTGCAGGAACGCGCACCCTAGCTGCTCTTCTTTCCTTATGTCGAATCTGTACGGGGCACGAGATCGGCAAAGAGGGAGCTTCGGTGGAAGAACACGAATATAGCCTTCTATCACATTTGTATTAATTGTGGAAGTAAATATATCCCTAGTGATGCTTCAGATGGAGCGGAACAGTTGGTAGCACGGCAAAGTTCGATGCAGCCATTCCTTGCCCCCACAGTGGCTCTGGATTCAGTTGGATGTTGCGCTCACGTAGACAACTTGCCAGCTTTTAATTGTCATTTGGTAGCTCAATAATGTGATTTTCTGCGGCGACAGTAGGGATAGAATCTTCTGGGTATTGAAGTTGACGGTGGCGCAACGTTTTGGGGGGCGGCATCGGCCGACGGGCAAGCCGAAGTGGATGCAATAGCTGCGAACCTGGTGAGCATGCATGGTTTGTCAGCCAATAAAGAGTTCATGGATGCATCGATGAGGCTACGTCAGATGATTCTGAGTTCCCAAGTAGCCCCGCTCAAGCCTTGAACAACGCACTAGCTTGCATTCTTGAGAGCTGGGCCGTATAGTTCAACAGCACAAGGGCATACGAAACGCCGAGGAACTTAGAGAACGGGACTAGACCGGCAGGAGGAAGCTGCTTGACGAGTAAAGACGACGCATACGGGAAACTGTATGCCCTCTAAACTAGCTGCGGCGCAATGAACCGGGCTGCAGAGGAAAAGACGCAGGTGGAGACCAAAGACGCGACCATTCCATGATCTCGCAAGCTACTAACTGGTGTCAAAAAAAGCTAGCACTACTTGATGTTGGATTTGAAGTAAATCTGCTGTCTGAGAAAACGACGCAGAAATGATATTTTGCCTGCTCCTCACTCAATAAGGTC